AGGGAGCTGGACTGTAAAACGTGCCAGGGCGTTTATATTATGAAGGAGCGGCGGCCCAGTGTGACCTTCAGCGATCACTGTTACCATGTTGTTGGCCAGCTACGTGTGTTCCCCGGCCGGCTGGCTGGCGGGCTTCCCATTCACCCATTACCTACTGACACCTGTTTCGTTTCACACTGACATTTAAGTAATATAAATTCGTTATCAGAATTTAGTTAACTTATTCAAAGAGTTGTTTTTGGTGTAGGTGGTTGTTTTATTAGTATTGTTAGTGTATGGTGAGGAGTTTGTCATTATGTAATAGTAAATGATGGCTTTTGTTTGGTTCTCCTTGGTCAGCTAAACTCACTGAGGGCTTACCGTTGTTTCTATACCTGTACTGTGCACCTAGCTACTGTATACCTGTAATGTATACTTGTACTGTATACCTGTACTGTTTACTTATACTGCATACCAGTACTGTACACTTGTACTGCTTACCTGTACTGTATACCTGTACTGTATACCTGTAATGTGTACTTGTACTGTATACATTTTACTAGACACAAAAAATGAGAATCAGAAAAATATTAAAAGTTGGCTAGCCCTCATGGCGAACAGGGAAGCAACTTGCATAAGTCTTCCCCTGCCTCTTCACCATCAAGACTCCTGCCGTGCCTCCTCGTGGCAACACACGGTAATTGGGTGCCTTGTGGGCCCACGCTAGACCAGCATGGGATCTCAGAGTAGCAGTGGGCCCCAGAGGGGCGGCACATAGGCCCACTGGCATGTGGACATGTTTTGGCACCTACCAGCCATTGCCCCGCTGCCTTGCAGATTAACCTTGGTAGGTATAAGGCAACGGGAGTAAACCCCAAACGAAAAATCTGTGGTGTAGCCCCACATGAGACAGACATGCTTACAGAGCTCCAACAAGCCTCCATCGGCAAAATAGGCGGAAGAGGTGACCACTGTGGAAACCCAACGACTACACCGGTGGACGAAGGCAATGCCTGATGGACAGGCCACTAAGGCGAAACCCAACAAACTGGGCTATCGGCAATTTATTGTAACTCTCCCTCTCCCCAGTCATTGCACCACTGGATCAGGAAAAGGTAGAGCCAAGATGTGTGGTTACAGCCTGCTCTCCTGTCTCACCACTAAGATCAACTCACACGCAGCCATCATCCAGTTCATCATACCTCTCGTCATTATCAGAACCCCTATACCCCCAAAAGTCCTTTGGCGATGGGTACAGGCAGAGATGACTGCTGGGAGTCTCTAGTCACAACTCTGCACATGGGCAGCACAGATAAGATGGTCGTTTATGCACTGAAATCTAGCCAGCAGTTCAATCCGGTCCTGTCTGTGCGACTGAGCAGCCCTTTCAAGGAGCCACTCTGCTCACCCCACATGGGGAGGGGGCTAGAAAAGGTGCACTAAACATAGCCTGCCTAAAAACCCAACCTGCTTGGGCAACCGCACCCAGTAAGGTCATCCGTATGCGGTCGAAAACACAGTCAAAATCACAGATCCAAACAAAAACAAACCATAGAACCTCTTATGGTCGCTGCATGGAATGTCAGAACCCTTCTGGATACTGGCACAAATGAGTGTCCTGAAAGAAGAACTGCCCTTGTGACAAAAGAGCTGGCTAGATATAACATCGACATAGCAGCCATCAGTAAGTCCCGGCTCCCAGCTGAGGGCTAGCTCACAGAACGGGGGTCTGGCTATATACCTTCTTCTGGAAGGGTAAGCCTGCTGTGGAGGGAAACTTCATTTATGGAGTTGGCTTTGCCATCTGCCAATGCGTCCTACACAGGCTAACTGAAATGCCTATTGGGATCAACAAGCGCCTCATGACGCTTTGAGTCCCACTGAATCACTCACGTCATGCCTTTTTCATCAGTGCATACGCCCCAACACTGGATGCAGAGGATGACATCAAGGAGGCTGTTTATGCCAACCTTACTAATCTCTATCCCCAGAGAAGACAAGGTTGTGCTCCTTGGCGACTTCAATGCCATAGTTGGCAGAGATGCAAGCATTTGACAGGGAACCATAGGGAGAAATGGACTAGGCAAGTGTAATGCCAACGGCCTACTCCTCCTCAGCAAGTGTGCTGTGCACAGCCTCACTATAACCAATACCTTGTTTCGGCAGGTCGACAAATTCAAGGGTTCGTGGCAACACCCACGATCCAAACACTGGCATCTCATTGACTACATCATTGTCAGAGAGAGAGATCGCCGAGATGTCCTCATCACCCGTGCCATGTGTGGCTCAGACCACTGTGACACTAATCATGGAATTGTCAGAGCCAAGCTCTCACTTCACGTTGCCCCAAAACGGCGAAGGCAACAAGACTCCAGAAGAGGTTTTAATACTAAGCATCTGGAAGGCCCAGCAGTTGCACATGCTTTCAGAGAGCAGCTCGAACATGTGCTAATAAACAACCCAACAGCAAACAACGCGAATCCCAGTGCTGAATGGGATACTCTCAACACTGTCATGACAAAAACCTGCAGAGACCCTCGGCCAGATCAAAGGAATACACCAGGACTGGTTTGATGAAATTGACCCGGCAATCAAAGTACTCATTGATGATAAATGTGCTGCTTTTACTGACTGGCAGAACAAACCTCAGTCTCGGACCAAAGCTGATACCTTCCGCAAGAAGAAAGCGGCAGCCCAGCGGGAACTTCGCATTCTTAAGAATGACTGGCTTAAAAATTAAGCATGTAAAATACAAAAACCTGCAGATCAGCACAAGATGCGCGAATTTTTCAATTCCATTAAAACATTTTATGGGCCAACCACTCTTGGAGCAGCCCCCTCTGCTCATCTGACGGTAACTCCATAATTAAAGACGATGAAGGCCTACTGGAAAGAGCACTACCATTCATTACTCAACCAAAACACTGACTACCCAGCAGGTCCCTCAGCATCCAGAGCTGACCCACCTCAACAATCATCCTTCCCTGGATGAGGTAGTTACTGCCATCAAACAGATGAAAAATAACAAAGCCTCAGGTGTATAAAGCAGGAGGCCCTCTGCTTACCAGCCGTCTCCACTCTCTCCTGGAGAATATATAGGAAAAGGATGAAATCCCCGAAGCTCTTAAAGATGCTTCTATTGTCAATATTTATAAGAACAAGGGAGACCGGTCAGACTGTGGCAACTACAGTGGGATCTCGCTGCCCTCCATAGCTGGGGAGATTATTGCCCAAGTCCTCCTAAACAGACTCTTTCCTAAGGCGGAAAACTTCCTCCCAGAATCTCAATGTTGTTTTAGATCATCACGTGGCACCACTGACATAATCTTTGCAGAGAACAGCGTCGTGACCTGTACACGGCTTTCATCGAATTTACCAAGGCCTTCGACTCAGTCAACAGGGAAGTCCTCTGGTGGACCCTCAGCCATTTTGGCTGCCCACCAAAATTCAGCGCCATTGTGCAGTAAAACCACGATGGCATGAATGGCAGTGTCCTACACAACGGCATCCAGTCAGAGTTCTTCCTCATCCAAACAGGGGTTAAACAAGGCTGTGTACTGGCACCAACTCTCTTTTCCATTGTCTTAGCTGCCTTCCTTACTCGTGTCGGTGCCAATTTAACCAGCAGGGTGAACATCGAGTACTGGGTGAAGGGGGGGTCTTTTCAACATAAGATGACTCCAGGCAAGAACAAAGGTGTCGGCAACTTCCATTACTGAACTTCAGTACGCAGATGACCTCACCCTTGTTGCTCACACTGAACATGACCTACGGGAGATCCTAAACACCTACGCAGATGTGTATGCGCACTTCGGCCTTGAGGTGAATGTACGTAAGACTCAGATTCTCTTTCAAGCTGCCCAGGTTCAGACACACCTCCAACATCCATCCAGCTTAACGGCTCTACCCTCTCTAATGTTACCCACTTTCGGTATCTCGGCTCCCACCTGTCCACCACCACAGACATCGATGAAGAGATTCAGCTCCGGATCAGATGTGCATCTCAAGCCTTTCGTGGACTCTGAAACCGTGTCTTCAGCTGAAGGGAGCTGAAATTATCTACAAAGCTCCATGTATATCGAGCAGTAATCCTCCCCATCCTTTTATATGGCAGTGAGACATGGGTCACATACAGGAAGGCACTTGAAAACTTTCATCAACGTAGTCTACGTTCCATCCTCCGAGTTTGCTGGGAAGACAAGAGAATAATTGCCAGTATTCTTGCTGACACCAACTATAGGAGCATCGAGGCTACCATTATCCATGAACAGCTACGCTGGACAGGCCATGTTACCCTCATGGACGACAGTAGACTGCCAAAGCAGCTACTTTACAGTCACCTAACGAATAGTAAAAGTAACACCGGCGGGCAATTTAAAAGGTATAAGGGTAGTCTTAAGACACCTGAAAAAGTGCCAAATCTTCCCCCTCACCTGGGAGTCAATTACTCCACATCGTAACGCTTGGAGGAGCACCACATGAGAAGGTGTCAATACTTTTGAGTTAGCCCGCCTGCAAACCGAGGCAGACAAACGCCAACGCTGGAAAGACGCTGCCGCCACCCTTCCCACACTAGATGCAGCCCTCCACTTGTGCAATGAATGTGGACGACCCTGCCGGTCCCGTATCGGCCTCTTTAGTCACCTCAAAACTCACCAACCTAGATGACATCCCTAAGAACTCTTATCATTGTATCATAGCTGGATGATCGTCAAACTTGATTCCGAGTGACAGCAAAACAGTAGTATAGTTATATTGTTTCTCTAAATTCATTATTAAAGTATAAATAAATATAGACTATGTATAGTTATGAAACATTGAGCATCAAATGATCGTCTACTACGTTCCGTACTGATAAAAAAAAAGTTTTTACCTAACTATTCATGAATGTTATCATGAATATACTTTAATAATGTATTCATATTCGGAAAAAAATTATTTTTGGTGTTTGTATTCTCATTCATAATAATTTGAAGTATTCGCATTCCTGTATTTACTCACTCCCTGTTATACTCTCACAGATCATCCAACATGTCACGTAGTCGTTCCGGCTCTGGCTACAACAATTGGGTCAGCGGTCTGCGGAATGACTTCTCTCGAAGCCTTGAAAACCGTCGACGAGCTGAAGCCGAAGCTGAAAAACGTAAGTAATATTGTCTATTAATGTGGCATTTAATATTTCTTTTTGTGTTATTTGGCTTCACTTACGTGTATTAGTAAGTCCTGTAGAGGTCCAGGGCATTATATCTCCCTAGAACCTAGGTGATGTTGGGTCACCTCACCGCTACAATACAGTGGAGGATGTTTTGTGGGTATTATTTTAGTTTCGGTCATCCGGGGAATCTTGGTGATTTAAAACTTTGGAATCAGTAGTTAAAAAATTCTAAGACACTTTTCTTCTATGACGTATCCCCTGCAAACGACTCACATATGCTGGGGGTGGGGGGAGGGGGGGCGGAGTCCCCCAGTTAGGAAGTTAGATCAGGTCATTTGTGAGGGAAACTAGTGATCGTAAAGATAAACTTTCTAAGATTCCCATGTTGTCTGAAAGTAAAACTTTACCATTTCGTGTAGCTACCACAGGAAAACTATAGCCTACCACCCCTCATTGCTGGTACCTGGGCCCCTGCCTGCCACCCCACATAGCTGGTACCTGGGCCCCTGCCTGCCACCCCTCATAGCTGGTACCTGGGCCCCTGCCTGCCACCCCTCATGGCTAGTACCTGGGCCCCTGCCTGCCACCCCTCATGGCTGAAGTACCTGGGCCCCTGCCTGCCACCCCTCATAGCTGGTACCTGGGCCCCTGCCTGCCACCCCTCATAGCCACCCTGCCTCATATACCCCCCTGGCTGGCACCTGGGCCCCTGCCTGCCACCCTCATAGCTGGTGCCTGGGACCCCTCATAGCTGGTACCTGGGCCCTGCCTGCCACCCCACCTGGGGTCCTGGTACCTGGGCCTGCTGCCACCCCTGCTGGCAGCCCCTGGCTGGCACCTGGGCCCCTGCCTGCCACCCCTCATAGCTGGTACCTGGGCCCCTGCCTGCCACCCTCATGGCTAGTACCTGGGCCCCTGCCTGCCACCCCCTCATGGGTACCTGGGCCCCTGCCCCTCATGGCTGTACCTGGCCCCTGCTCACACCTCATAGCTGGTACCTGGGCCCCTGCTTGCCACCCCTCATAGCTGGTACCTGGGCCCCTGCTCACCCTCATAGCTTGTACCTGGGCCCCTGCCTGCCCCTCATAGCTGGTACCTGGGCCCCTGCCTGCCACCTCATAGCTGGTACCTGGGCCCCTGCCTGCCACCCCTCATAGCTTGTACCTGGGCCCCTGCCTGCCACCCTCACACCTGCCCCTGCCTGTCACCCCTCATAGCTGGTACCTGGGCCCCTGCCACCCATCAGCTGGTACCTGGGCCCCTGCCTGCCACCCTCATAGCTGGTACCTGGGCCCTGCTTGCCACCCCTCAGCTGGTACCTGGGCCCCTGCCTGCCACCCCTCATAGCTGGTACCTGGGCCCCTGCCTGCCACCCCTCAGCCACCTGGGCCCCTGCCCACCTCATAGCTGGTACCTGGGCCCCTGCCTGCCACCTCATAGCTGGGGCCCCTGCCTGCCACCCCACATAGCTGGTACCTGGGCCCCTGGCCACCCCTCAGCTGGTACCTGGGCCCCTGCCCACCCCTCATAGCTGGTACCTGGGCCCTGCCTCCCCCATGGCTATGGTACCTGGGCCCTGCCTGTCACCCCTCATAGCTGGTACCTGGGCCCCTGCCTGCCACCCCTCATAGCTGGTACCCGGGCCCCTGCCTGCCACCCCTCATAGCTGGTACCCGGGCCCCTGCCTGCCACCCCTCATAGCTGGTACCTGGGCCCCTGCCTGCCACCTCTCATAGCTGGTACCCGGGCCCCTGCCTGCCACCCCTCATAACTCCCAGCTCAGTTAATAATGTATATTCTACTTGCAGCTCCCAGTTCAGTTAACAGTTAATGTTCTACTTGCAGCTCCAAGTTCAGTTAACAGTTAATGTTCTACTTGCAGCTCCCAGTTCAGTTAACAGTTAATGTTCTACTTGCATCATCCAGTTCAGTTAACAGTTAATGTTCTACTTGCAGCACCCAGTTCAGTTAACAGTTAATGTTCTACTTGCAGCTCCCAGTTCAGCTAACAAAGTAGATCGTGTCCACTGGTACATCAAGGACAATGCCAAAACCCACAACACCATCAAGTATGACCTGGTACATGATGACAAGGACCCAAAGCCAGTACTGCGTCGTGGCCAGACCTTCTACCTGGCTATCAGGTTCAGGAATGACGTTGACATAAAGCGGGATCGTATTGTCCTTAACTTCAAGTTTGGTAAGTTCTTTGTCTCTTCTTGCATAGTATTTAAGATCATTTTGATTGTTGTTTGTGAAGTAAAGAAATATTTTCTCACTTACTTGTTTTCAGAAATTTAACTTATACTATCAGTTTTTAGTGGGCTGACAGGAAGTAAACATATAGTTGACTCATATGCCTCAGAATTCAGTATTATAAGGCATTTTCTATACGCAAAAAATGTCATATTTATTGTTACATTCTAGATATAGCTACTTCACTCCTGAGCAGTTGCTCCAAGTATATAAGGGATTCATTCGTCCTAACTTGGAGTACTGCTCTCATATCTGGGGTGGCTCTTCTTCTGTCCAACTGTTAGATAGGGTGGAATCAAAGGCATTTCGTCTTATTAACTCTCCTCCTTTAGTCGACAATCTCTCTTCCCTTTCTCTTCACCACAATGTTGCTTCACTCTCTCTATTTTACAGGTACTTTAACGGGCAATGTTTAGGTGGATTTGGCATCCTGTGTACCGCCGGCAAGGCCGTGGGTTCGTAACACGTCTTGTCCGCGGTGCCCACTGTTTCTCTGTGGATGTCGGTCACACGAGAATAACCCGTTATAGTACCTCCTTCTTTCCTCACAGCCAAACTGTGGAATGCTCTGCCTTCTTCTGTGTTTCCATACTTATACAATGTGTCTCACTTTAAAAGGTTGGTTTTCCGGCATCTTCGTGGTGTAGATTAACACAATACAGTATAACCTTTTTCTTCTCTATTTTCAGTTTTTTTCTGTTCTTATTTTTTGCCCCCACACACACACACACAGGTGGTTTGACCTGTGCCTGGGTGGGCTAATTCTCAAAAAAAAAAAAACACAGTAGTATTCTGAAATATATACTATCATGATGTGTAATTAGTGCAGGCTCAATCCTATTCTAATTAAATTCTAGTAACAGTAGGGGTCTGCTCAGTAGAAAGTGGGTTTCTACAACTAGTGTTAAGTAAGGAGAATACTTTACAGTTTAGTACAGTACAGTTTAATACAGTTCAGTTTAATACAGTACAGTACTGTAATTCTATAGGGACATGATCTAGCTGTGGTGAGATGCCAGAGCTATCTCATCTTGAGCACTTGTTTGAACTAACTGTTGTTCCATTGCTGGTACCTTTGATGCAGCTGATTGAGGTGTCAGGTAATCAGTACTGTAATATATAAGGCCATATCTGTGTGCAGGACCCAAGCCATCTGTTCAGAAGGGCACCATGGCTGTAGTTACTGTGCAGAACACTAAATTCACCAAGACTAAGGATGAATGGGACTGTCGCATTGACCCTGGAACTCGTGGAAATGATCTTGTGCTGCAGGTAATGATCTTAATATAATTTAACTATATATGTAGTTATCTTGTGCCATGTTATCCTCATGCTCATGTACAATATGTAAATATTATTTGTGGTATGGGTCAATCAACATAAGATCAAATGTCTTGTGTGGATTTACTGTGGTAATAATTTTGACTCATGTTCCAGGTGTACTCTCCAGCAAGTGCCATGGTAGGCATATGGCGTCTCGATGTTCGCACTGGTCTCCAGGACATTAATCAACCAGGAATGGAACTCTTCTCTGAAGAGACTGACTGCTTCATCCTCTTCAATCCTTGGTGCAAAGGTTAGCAAATTAAACTCTTTGGTTTATTAAGGCAACATGAAGGAGACTGATTATGGAAAGATTCTCTACATGATTGACTAGTGATTTTATTCCTCTAAATCAGTGGTTCCCAAAAATTTGAGGTTGTGACCCTAAATACAATCTTGTCCTGGCCTGGTCACCCTAAGTGCGAGTGCATGTAGTGTTAATTACCAATCATTTTGATATGTTGTGTTTATTCACAAAGTTTTATTTAATTAATTTAAATTACTAACACATTATGAATTTCAATAAGTTTTTAATTGAACGAAATGAAAAACAAATTTTCATGAAAATGAGACTTTATTATACAATTCAGTCGCCTAAATAACTCAACCAGAATTTTTCAGTGGCTAACATGATGCTGCTTTATTCTTGGGGTGAGCTTTTTAAGGTTTGATTCTATGGTGATAAATTTTAATAATTATAAGAATTAATTTCGGTAACTTTTTTTTAATCAGACAAATGAAAAGTGTATGCACAGGTTGGACCTCACTAATCTGGGAAGCTTGGGACCAGACCGGTTCTGGGTTAGCAAAAATTCCAAACCATCAAAGCTGAGGTTTAAAAAAGGCAAAATAATGAATAAAATGTACTGGTACCAATACAACTTACATCAGCATAAATCTAGCCCGGGCTTACTAGACCTCTTTATGACAAAGTGCTAGTGCTATGACACACGTCTACTGTACATTGAACATTCGCTTTATGTCATTCACTATACTGTATGGGAATTCACATACTATACAGTATTTACAGAACTAAACAAAGAATTTATTTGAAAGGCTCTGTAACATTCAATGCCGTAATATCCTAACTACGGGGGTTAGTTATACTGTACAGACTTTTCCCTGAGAAAAAGCCATCATTTTGAGCAACATATCATTGTACTCGAATGTACTACTCTAAAGGGCTAAAAAAAAATTTATCTTGTACAAATTATGTGATGTTTGTACTAAAATTAATCACTATCGTGCAAGGATTACAGCAATGCAAGTTATATGCTGCTCAGTTTAGTCTGTGACATTTAATAAGATAAAAACGTTAAGCCTAAAATCACTTCCATCCCTTTAAACCTTATCACCCACTGCCATCTGCCTCCCCTGCTGGCAGGGAGGAGGGGGAGGGGGAGGTGGAGGTTGGGTATTGACAGATTTTTTTTTAGATTGCCCCCGAGGGGGCTAGTTTATTGGGCACCCCCTTACATCCTGTGCAAGGTGAAGCACAGAAGCGTTTACAGCGCCCATGTGGGAAGCATGCGGAGTTCATGCTTGCCTTTATGACTCATAGCATTACTGTTGACTTTTAGTAGTTGTGGAACATATCCTAATTTTACCAATAAGAGTACTGTAAGTATATTCACTATATGCGTCCCGATTCATTGAAATTGCTGGATTATGTTACCATCTGTTTTACCAAACTAACATAGAAAGGAGAAAAAAATACTATATGACACTTCTTAGCATTAAAAAAAACACGCACTCATCCGCTCAAAACCGAAACGCCATCATGGTCGTTGAGTGTCAAACATCCAAAACTCGAAAAATAAGGCTTATTTGCGTCTGCTCAAATGCCTCAATTTCATTATAAACCAACTTGAATGAAAGAAGATACTTAAAAATTGGCTATTGTACGAACCATATACACAAGTGTTATAAATTAAGAATAACAGAAAATTTGGGAAATGGATTTTTAACACCAGCGACCATAATGGAGGTTAATTACAACGTTTGATAAGGGAAAAATCCAGATTTTCTCAGTGGCTACCATGATACTGCTTTATTTTGTGGGTGAGCTCCTGTGAGTTTGAAATCTGTAACCTGATAAGATGAAAAATAACCAAAAGTACTCTGTGGAATATTCTTTTGAAGGAAAATTGTAATACGGTATTAAATAATTACAGTATAAGGTATTTGAGTTTTAACTAACCTTGTTCAGTAGATTGTATAAAATGTATTTCATAATGTTGTTAATGATTCAAGTGTTTTTCTATGCATTTCTGAAATATTATTACCCCTGTATAATTTGTGATATAAACTATATGTAGAAATATTTTATTCATTTGCAGATGATTCTGTATATGTAGAAGATGATGTAAAAAGGCAGGAATATGTGATCAATGACAAGGGTAAGGTGTATGTGGGCGCCTATAGAAAATCTCGAGGTCGAGCTTGGGCTTATGGCCAGTTCGATGATGTGGCTCTTCCTGTGGCTGTTTACATCTTGGAGCTGAGTCGAGTTGCCGACGCTGAACGTGGTAACCCGGTTAGGGTCGTGCGAGGAATTTCTGCAGGAGTAAGTAACACTTCCTGTCTACACTCTATAACATTATTATAATTTTCATATCAAAAAGAGCTGATTGAAAATTTTAGTTTTTAATAAAATAATAGAGCTGCTCTTCAACTGTACATTATTTCAGGTAAATGATTCAGACGAGGAAGGCATCTTAAGCGGACGATGGGACGGGGAGTACAGTGATGGTGTGGCGCCTTACAGGTGGACTGGAAGTGTCAGAATTTTGGAAGAGTTTGTGAAAAATGGATATAAACCCGTCAAGTATGGACAATGCTGGGTCTTTTCAGCGCTTGTCACCACAAGTAAGGCATAACTACTACAAGAACTTTTCCATTTTTCCATAATTTATTGTCTTTATTTTTTTGTGGTGTCAGTACATAATTTTTGTAATTTTTTGCTGTACAACACCACCAACCTTTTAGTGAAGAGATCTGTATATACTTGTCAATAGTCATTACTTGGTTATGGTAAAAAACTTAGAGAGCATCATTGTAAAATTAATTGTAACAGGTGAAAAATGACTTCATGACACACAATTATTACCCTTTATTTGTCACCAGTCTGCCGTTCTCTGGGCATCCCCTGCCGGTCCATAACCAACTTTGTCTCTGCCCATGACACCAATTCCTCTCTCACCATCGACAAGTTCTTTGACAAAGAGGGCAATGAACTTGAAGGTGGACCCGATGGTGAGAATTGGGATTCTGTTTGGAATTTCCACGTTTGGAATGACGTGTGGATGGCTCGCAATGATCTTCCACCAGGCTATGGAGGCTGGCAGGCAATTGATGCCACACCTCAGGAAGAGAGTGATCGTGAGTATACATAAGCAGGTATTTGGGGTCAGCAGGTTCTTCACACAATACAGTACAGTGTGCTAGTAAACTCACAACAACAAAGTCACTGGAAATCATATTACAGTACTGTACATTAATCTCCAGATATTTTGCCAATATGATGAGAAATGTATAAAAACACTAACCAATCAAATAAGATAATTGAACTTCTGTAAAAGCTGGAGAACATATACATACTGTATTTACATTTTTGTTTTTCATTTATAAATTTTAAAAGCCTATGAGGCGTGACGTCATGAAAGTTAGGCTTTCTGATTGATCGAAGACAGGCCTAAGGCCTTCATACTATTGGCTTCAAATTGGCGGGAATTCTCAGGTGGCGAGAAACTCATGACATTGTTACATACCTAAGCTGGTGACCACCAGCCAGTGTGAACAACTGTGACGCAAATTTATAAAATGAACTTACAATTATTAGGTAACAACAGAAAAGTCGTTGGACAGTTGTTACCAAGTGACGTCAAAGAGATGGCAGTACTGTGCTGTATACATGCTTCCAGGAGGTACAAACTCCTCCCACACTGCCAGTAGGTAGGAACTCAGGGTAATAGAGCCTAGCTGAGGTAAAGTACTTGTATTATGCTTATTATAAAACCTCTCCTGTTGACAAAAGCTCAAGGAACTTTCTAAAATTCAGACTGTTGTTTTTATTTATTTTTTCTAATGTGTCTACTAAATGTAGAATTTTATGCTGATTTTAAATGCATAATTCTTTTTTTTTCCGGAAATGAACAGTTCAAGAGATACACGCATAATTTTGGTATGCAATTACACACACTTTCATTGTACCAACCCAATATAAGCAATACACTAGTAGTCATGCTATAGATAATAAAAAAAAATATGATTTTCTGCTACTCGTGATTGTGGTTATTATTGTTGGGATCCTTATTAATAACTTAATTTTAATTTTTTTTAAATAAATCTTGTGATTGAGGTCATCAACTAAACCTAACCTAACCTAACCTAACCAAGGCTATTAACTTCATATAATTTTCGTGTGATTGCACTCATTAACTAAAGGAGAACTAACCTAACCCAACCTAACCTAACCTAATGCAACAGAAATATTGGCATAATTTGTTAACGGCTCATTTCCAATGATAAAACAATTACATATTTTAAATCAGCATAAAATTGTACATTAATAGGTAAATTTAAAAAAAAAGTAATACTATCCAAATACAGGAAAAGGCTCCAGCTGAGCATTTTAACATTTCTCATGTTGACAACAGCTGAATATTTTACTTTTACTTTTTACTTTTATCCTCTTTGCCACCGATCGGCTCGTTAGCCGCTTGGGCGGTCGGTCATGTCTCTGGTATGCACTGTTGGCAAGTGCTGGGCATGTACAGTACTGGCTTCTGAATATATAACAACCTGCTCCAGTGTTGGTCAAGTCTGGTCTTGAAACAGCTCACACTCAATGCTGTCACAACACTTTCTGGTAGATTGTTCCAAGAGTTCACAACTCTCACTCCAAAAAAGTTCGTCCTCCTAGTTTTCTGGACCTGTTGCTTATTCAACCTTGAGCTGTGACCCTTTGTGGGGCGGGTGTCTGCCAGCTCCAGGTATGGATACTCAACCATGTACAAGGGGTCCTCATAGAAGGTGGTTCATTGGGACCAGAAAAAAGCCACTGATAATGAAATTGCGTGCTTATAAATGGGAATTAATTTCCATAATTAATAGGAATAGGGTTTAATCAGGACCATCACATTGTAAGTGACTCCTATAAATTTTGGTTTGGTATCTTTTGATATTTATACTGTAGTATGTATATACAGTGGCCCCTCGGTTAACGAACTCAATCCGTTCCAGAAGGTCGTTCGTTAACCGAAACGTTCGTTAACCGAAACCATTGTTTCAATGGGTTTTTGGGTAATTGGTTCCAGCTCACCGAAAATTTCCTAAATTCAACAAAAATGGTAGAAAAGTTCACTTACTTTGAGGTGTGTATGTAGAAGGCTCCTGGATGATGATGATGATGATGGGATTTAGAATGGGGGTGGAGGAGAAGGAAGAAGAGAAGGCATTGGGGTGGAAGAGAAGTCACCCCATGGTGCCATTTCACCCATAAAATTTTAGCTCTCTGGTTTAATTCAAGATTATTTTCTTTAAATCAACGCTGCACTGCATTATATATTGTCAATATATAAAATATATTTCAAAATGACCAATAATTTGCTTGGAAACACAGAAAAAAAGCGTTTAGTTGAAGAGAGTCTCAAGCAAGATGTTACCTCCAGTGAAAACAGAGAGAGACTGACGCCTGTTTGCTGTGTTAAGAGGCTGGATGCCGCGCATTAAACTAGTCACTTTACCTTCAATTTTGTTCAATAATTGTTAAAATGACTAAAAAATTGAATATTAAACTTTTAAAATTATTGAATAGTATAAACTTCTTGATATTTACAAAAATAGTAAGGAATTTAAGCCCTAGAACCGATTAATGTATTGGCGGACTGATACTAAAGCTGGTTGCCCGGTCAGTGCAAGCGAAAACATGTTGAGGTCGGTTCGTAAGAAGTTCGTTAAGCGAAATTTTTTTCGTTAACCGAATTGAAGATCCTTATGGAAGGCAGTTCGTTAATCGAAATTACGTTAACCGAGGTGTTCGTTAAACGAGGGTCACTGTATATATATATATATATATATATATATATATATATATATATATATATATATATATATATATATATATATATATATATATATATATATATATATATATATATATATATATATATATATATATATATATATATATATATATATATATATATATATATATATATATATATATATATATATATATATATATATATATATATATATATATATATATATATATATATATATATATATATATATATATATATATATATATATATATCTTAGAATCATTTGATTTCACATTATTTTATGAAATTATTTAACTTTATAACTTATTTAAGGTACTTAAAGTCGTTTAGGGTCGGTGTGTTAGTGCGGCACAAGCTACCTAACCACACACTCATTTCAGTGAAAATGGTTCATTGAGACATGCTCACCACTTTTCTTATGAAATGTAACTTCTAATTTCACATCCATCCCATAGCTACTATGCTTCCTTTTAGCAACTTAACCACCTTGCTTTGCTCTGGACCTGATGTCACCAAAGACACAACAAAGTTAATAATTATAGTTCTGGGCGTACTTCAAAATAATGCCTGTGGACACAGGTGACTGGTACTGAGCCTGTATAGCACAGGTGAGAAGAATGACCTTGAAGAGAATGGGAGGCGGGCAGGAATTTCAATCACTCAAACACTTGTGCTCCCAAAGATTGATGGATTTCAGCCATAGAATCCTCTAAACTGTGGAGACTTTTTATTTGTAGGTCCACAATTATTTGACCAATTAAGTGCAAAACCACTTATAATGAAGACACTTATAACAAGGATCCTGTGTTGTGCTCTTTGAGATGTTTTTAAACTTCAATTTGGGTCTCCCCTTGCCCCGTCTGTAATATAAGCTAGGCAGTTTCAGGCGTTTTAATCTCTCTGGATAACTGAGGTGCTGTAGTGCAGGCACCAGTCTGGTTCCCTATTTTTTATTTTTTCAATCAACTGATGGTGCCTAGCATATCTCGGGACCAGATGGGGTGACAGTACTCCAGGCGGGGAAGCACCTCACTCTTGAAGATCTTTATGAGGGACGGACCGTCTAAATATATGAACGACCTTATAAGACCTACTAGTTCAGTTGTTTAATTCACCTATTTCTCACAATGGCCTGAGATCTTCAGTTCATAGTCATCATACACAACCAGGTCCTTTTCACATTTAGTCTCCATTAATGCAGTTTCTTTGTCCCGTTGGAACATGTGATACCCCTCCTTACTGTTGGTGTGACCCAGGTGTATCTTCTTGCACTTCATGCTATCGAATCTTAACAGCCATTTCTTCCACCACTCTTGAAATTGACAGATATCTTGCTGTAGCTCTTCACAGTCTATTTGGTTCTTAATTTCCCTTGTCACAGGTACACATTAAGATTTTGTGCCATTAATCACTACACGCTGCTTTCGGTCATGAAAAAAGTCTTCGATCCACGCTAGGATCCTTCCCCAAATCCTGTACCCTTCCAGTATAATTCTCAGCCTTTCATGGGGTCGCTGTTGAAAGCCTTGGCAAAATCTAGGTACCTATATATTGTCAATATTTCCACCCTGTTCTGGAATTGAGTCCAAACATCCAGTATGCTGTACCTTGAGAAATTATGTTAAGCAGGAGCTTCCCGACATAAAATCGTGTTGGCAATCCTTTACAAAGCTGTTTCCTCGTAGATGTTCCATCATGGCATCTCTTATAATGCTCTTAAGTAATTTACATACTATGCTGGTCAGGCTCACTGGTCTTAAGTTATTCGTGGAGTGACGATCGCCGTTCTTGAAGATAGGACTCACATAAGCCACTTTCCAGTCACTGGGACCTTTTGCTCATCCAGGCATCTACAGAATAGGATCTTCAGGGGCTCAGCAAGCTGGGATGTACCACATCAGGGCCCGGACTCTTATGAACCTTTAGCTTTGACAATTGATTTCTTATAACTTCTTCTGTGAACTCAATGAGGGTCAGCGCTGTGTAGAACCGTCTGTCCTCAAACACAGGAAGATTGTTCGCATCCTCTCGTGAACACCGAGGAAAAGAAGCTGTTCAATGCCTCTGCCTTCTCCTGGTCAAAATATGCGTAACTACCCTCTTCAAGCCTCAGGTTCGATACACCTACTCGCATTTTTAATTTCGATTTTGCGTAGTGGTAGATAGAAAGCATTTTGTTTTGACGTGACCTCACTCGCAGTCCGCCTCTGGAACTCTTTTTCAACCCTTCTACACACTGACTTTGCTTGGTTCCTGGATCTAGCATACAACCTCCTGTCCTGCTCATCATTTGTCCTAACCCATGTCTTGAATTTCTGAGTTGTTTTTTTTTTACTTTGTCGACCGCCGCATGGTTCATGTGTAATGGTCTCGTATTCCTAGAGGCACTGGGTTTGGTCTTGGGTATATATTTATCGATCAAATGGTTCACTTTACTAGTTATGATATTCAGCGTAGTGTCTGCGTTCTTATACCTTACTGACTCAGGCCAGTGGATACCCCTCATCTCCTCCGTCATCCCGTTGTAATTACCCTCATAATATCTGAACCTTGGCCTGGTTATGTCGTGCACCAAGTAACAGTTAAATCTGAAGGACGACATTACCGTACCCTCCTCGTTAGTTATGATGAGGTCCAGCAGTTAGGGTGTTTGCTCCCCTCTGTAATGAATCGAATCTTAACATGTTGGCATAGAAAATTATCTCTCAGAGTTTCTACAAAAAGAGTAGCGGGGTTATTAAGGTCATTTGGCGTGGTTTCATTTCTCCAGTCGATGTTGCCATAGTTAAAGTCCGCCCTGACAAGGAGGTGGCTAGGGTTGAATGCTGTTGCATTGTCAATTAAGGCTCTTATGTTTCTTTGGTTTAATAAGTTACTGTTTGGCTATCTGTAGATGCATCCGATAATGAGTAAATCTCTCCCCTTTATTTCAATTTTACACCACTTTGATTCTTCAAAAATATCTTCCCCTGCACCTTCACTAGGTTGGTTCTTAGGTCTTGCCAAGCATATATAACCACACCCGTTTTGCAAGTTGCTTGAGAAAGGTTCGTAAATGAGTCGTACCCGTCAATATTGAACTCACATTCCTCTGAATCGATTCTCCTGTTCTTGTACAGAAGTTCTATAACACCTGCTATATCAGGTTGATGTACCTTCAGTAGTGTTTCAAACTCCACTCTCTTTTCAAGAATGTGTCAGTATTAGCGTACAGTACATGACTTCCAAACCAGAATTTGTCCTCGATAACGTCTCTGATCTTAGTAATGACTCCGGCCTCTTCCTGGGAGGGGTGGTTTCTCATGTTGACAACAGCGGAATACAAGCCTCAGTAACTATATGAGATAATGTACCAATAAATAATAAACAAGAAGACTTGCTATTTTTAAAGTCTTAAAAATATTATAAACAAAACATTTTATCTACATTTAGAAAATAATTTTTGGTATTTTCAGAAGAAACAAACAAATGTCTTATAATTCTTCCATAAGTAATAACAAATTGGATCTTGTTAACTAGTTTTTAACATTTATGTTAATACATATGAATATTAACATTTAGTGTAGCAGTATGAGCACCCATCATCTCTCTCTCTCTGTCTCCTCAAACAAGTTTCTACACTATAACAGTGTATGTAAAGTGAGACCATAAATTTAAGATTTTATAAGAGGAGGATGACCCCAGACCATCATCTTAAGCCTTGTTACTGTAGGTAAACCCTGGCTGGACATGTCTCTACTTGCCAGATGTGCTACTATTTTTTATTTTTTTTTATTTTACCATTTTATTTCTTGCAGACAAAATGCAGTGCGGACCTGTATCCTTGCAAGCTATCAGACGGGGTGACATTGGTCTGAACTATGATGCCCCATTTGTATTTGCTGAAGTTAATGCTGACATCATGCACTGGGGAGAGGATGAGAACAGTGACTGGGGCTGGAGTCGTATGAAGATGAACAAGTACCACATCGGTCGTGCGGTGAGTGTAGTTTTCTCTCGTGCTGAAACATGTCATGTGAAGGCTTGTACTTTAGTTTGGTTATGTGTGATTTTGTTTGTCTGTGGACCAGCTTTATGGCATATACAGTATGAGGTATCAGTCCTATCTAGCCTTGTTTTTAGTACGGTTGAACCTCGATTTACGCGGTTCTCGTTTACGCTTTTGGTCATTTACGCGGTACCTTGCCAGAACCGGGATGCCCGATTTACGCGGTAAATGTGGTCATTTACGCGGGTGAAGTATAATTTGTTTATTTACTGAAGATATTTGTTTTAGCTTATAAAATTCATACAAATTACCCGGTCAGAATATAATTTACATTGCTGGAATTCTTATAAGATTGTGATTTTTTTAAATATAAACATCATGGAATTTGCATTAGACATACAAATTTTAGATCTAATGTAAGAATTTTGATTACAAAGAGTCAAAATTTTATCTTGTGTGCAAAATATATGACGTTTATATTCAAAATATTCCTGGTCTTGCAAGGAATCCAGCAATGTCAATTATATTATCCTAACTTTAGTCTGAGGTATTATTTATTACTAAACCTTAAAATCTAGTGTTTTCACCCAAACATTTCTCAGAGAGGGAGGAGCCAGCGAGCGTGGGAAGAGGGGGGGAGGGGGGGCAGGAGTTGAGTCCATTATTTGAATGGACATTAACCTGGCGACTGTTTTTCTCTTAAATATTAATTGTGTGTGTCATAAAATTTAGATGTTATTTTTACTACAACTACGTATTGTGCCAGAAAAAGTGGAGTTTGGAAGTCGGTCCAGTCTCTATTTCAATTAATCCCATATGTTCTGTTATTTCATTTACACGTTTCTCGTTTTACGCGCTACTCCGCAGGTTCAATTGACCGCGTAAATCGGGGACCACTGTACTGTACAGTATTATTCAACCAGATATCATCTTACTATTGGGTCAGATGGCAGGATATTTATAAGATTTCTTAAATATATTTATACTAGGGAAAAATAAGACTCCCTGGTGCGCTGATGTTACTCAGGGCAGTCAGTCACAACAGTTAAACAATATACAATAAATAAAACAAGAGGTAAACAATATACAATAAGAGATCACCAAACAAAAATATACTCAATGTGTGTCACCCTACAGATACTTACCAGGAACCCAGGTAAGGATGACGATGACGGGGACGCTGATCAGGAGGATGTAGTGAATGATTACAAGAACGCTGAGGGCACACAGGCCGAGCGTCTGGCCATCCACAACGCCATCCGTGGGTCAAGCCGTGCCCAGCAATACTATCAGTACAATAAGGACATAAAGGAGGATGTTTTCTTTGATTTGATTGACATTGACAAAATCTCAATTGGTGAACCATTCCAGGTCAAGGTAAGATTGTGTAGTAAATACCTTATTGTGATTTTTTTCATATTAATTAGTTTTTGTTTATCATTTATTTAATTCCTGTATCTCTACACTAGCTCTTGAATGGCCTTTTTTGCTTTCTCTAGATACAATAGAGGGTAGGTGGGTGGGTGGGCTAGTGGTACCATAGTGGGTGGGTGGGCTATATAGTAGGTGGGTGGGCCAGTGGTACCATAGTGGGTGGGTGGGCTAGTGGTGTTATAGTAGGTGGGTGGGCCAGTGGTACCATAGTGGGTGGGTGGGCTAGTGGTGTCATAGTAGGTGGGTGGGCTAGTGGTGCCTTAGTAGGTGGGTGGGTGGGAGGTTCTAAAACACCTGCTCTTTCAGGCTCACTTGGAACTTGTGGTTTCAAAATTTTTTGTTAGTTATATTTGATTTTTTATATATTTGTATCTCTTTTTGTTTCTGAATTTGTGATTGACTTTTATTTGCTTTAAATTTAATAAGTAATAACAAAGTTGACTTGTCAGTATATAAGTTGTAAAATACCTGTACTATTATTACTAAATGTTATACTACTACAGTTAATTGAAAGTATGGTACTGTACTATAATTACTGGCATTTGTACTGTACTATGTTGTTTTATATTTTGTTCATAAATATGTTGAATAACTCCACATAATGTGTCTGCTATGACAGGTTGTGATCCGCAACGATTCTAACGAACAAAGAAAAGTGAGTGCCTACCTCTCTGCTCGGTCTGTATACTACACTGGTGTTAATGTTTCTCTCATCAAGAAAGCTGAGGGAACCTTTTCTTTGGCACCTAAGCAGACACAAGTAAGTCATATAAGTCTCTACTAAGTTTGACATTAGTGTTGATACCATTATATTAACAGTGAGTGAGTGTGTGTGTGTGTGTGTGTGTGTGTGTGTGTGTGTGTGTGTGTGTGTGTGTCATTTAATGTTAATTCACTTAATGATATTTCTCTTTAATGATATAAAAATTTTAACACACTTTCTTGTTTATTTATTAGTCAAAATTCAGTTTAGCGAAGTTTGACTTTCTATGATGAGGCAAAAACCAGAGATAAGGTGAACCTGTGAGATGATTTATTGCCTTTGTTACATTTAATCAAACTATAAAATTTGTGGAAAACCATTACAATACTGTGAGCTAATGTGCCTGAGAAAGAAATAAAGAAAATATGATATAAAATAAGAAAAATGAAGAGCATGGGTGTGTATGTTTGGGAAGTGAATGTATTTGAGGCAGGGAGCTGTAACTGACCAGCCGCACTCTTCCTCCCCCCTATGTGACGTAGCAGCCACATAGCTGGATGACTGCTCGGCTGAACTGTGCCACATGTATAATGTACCAGTAAATGTAAAGAATAAATTAAAATGATAATAGTACTGTTAAGTGTTTCAGTAAGTAAAATTCTATATTTACACAGGATGTGGCTCTGACTGTTCAATACAGTGAGTATTGGAAGAAGCTGGTGGAGCAGTGCATGATAAAGATCTATGCTATAAGTCGTGTGAAAGAAACTGGCCAGACATGGACAGATGAGGACGACTTCCAAGTGGAGAAGCCCAAGTTAGAGATCCAGGTAACATACTGTACTGTACTGTACTCTGAACCATGACTCAATACATCATTAGTATTCACTCCCCCATTTTTTGTGTCATTTTACCCACATATTAGACAAAACCTTTGAAATAGTTCCCTCCCAATATTTCACTTTTACTCCCCAAGTTTGTGAAAACTCTCTGGTCCTTCTTACTCTCCCAGCAGTAACTGATAACAGGAGTCTTAGATTGATTGTGTGAAGGGATGAAACTTTGGGTAATAACACTAGTACATTATTATAATCCCCTAGAATAATGAAACTCTCTTTTATTATCATCCTCTAGAATGATAAAACACTTAATACTCTTTTATTATCATCCTCTAGAATGATAAAACACTTAATACTCTTTTATTATCATCCTCTAGAATGATAAAACACTTAATACTCTTTTATTATCATCCTCTAGAATGATAAAACACTTAATACTCTTATATTATCATCCTCTAGAATGATAAAACACTTGTATCTCTTTGTTGTATGTCTCCATGTTGTTCAGGAAGAAAAGTGAGAATGAAGAAATTTGTATGAGCAAGACTATCCCCCATAGTAGTGCCAGGGTGAGGCTTGAATATGAAGGATGGCTGTGTATGGCTCCTTAGACTATTTGATATACACTAAATGGTTAGCTTCTTATGGTTACAATTACATTAATTAGGCAACAATAGCACAAGTATAGATACAACACAGACATAAAAGTTTTCAAATGTTAACAATATGTAAGAACGTATGTACTGTGCATTTACATGACATCCTCTCAGAAACAAGAACGAAAGTACATACATGTATTGTAAAGTGATAATTACATAGAATCTTAGTATATTTTATTGTTATATCATCATATAAAGTAAAGAAAGTAAAGTCACACTATAATTTTATTTCACATGATGCACCACATGCTGTTTTTCAAAATCACATTAATGATAATTACTTACAGACTTCAGAAGATATACAAGTTCGTAAAACTTGTAAAGCTACATTTTCCTTCACCAACCCACTTGATATGCCGCTCACTGACTGTCAGCTTAGCGTGGATGGTGCTGGACTAATGCGGCCAAAAGCGATTAAGATTGATGGGTAAGTTGTGCATTATGTTTAGCATTGACTTATTCCTTATCACTAAATTATATCACAAGTCTTGATGTAATGTTAAGGTTCATTCTGGCTATAAGTAAAAAGATGAAAATGTGATATGAATGGTTTCAGTAAGGACAGTGAGGTTACATGAGGAAGTATTGATGTGAGAGGTAGAATTAAAAGATAGTTATGGTTCTTAACACTTAAATGGCTAATTTACATGGTAATAGCTGTCACTTGCTTCATTTGATATGCTGGCCATAAACTATTCAGGTCATTACTGCTGAGGCGACAAAAATGGTTGCTGTGGTTGTGTATGAGAAGATGGAGGACAGACAGTTAGCATGAGGGAGACTAAACACTTCTATACTAATAGCTAGATGATACTCAAACATTCCAGAACAAATATAGGATGATTTAGGGAGGGGCGGTCATACTCATCGCTCCCAAACAGGATTTTTTTATTGGACAATAATAATCTTTGAAGCCCTTTAGGGGTTAAGAACAAGAAGGTGACTTATAGGAAAAGTTGACTGAAGGTTTTTCAGGTTTGGTTAAGCAGCTCTGGTCGGGTTGTGTTGCGTCTGTAACAAACATGTTCGGCCTTAAGAGCCTTCGTTGTTGAGCGGCAGAAATTAGACAGTGATTACATAAGATCATCAAGATCGTCTTAGTGGTGTGAAAGTGTAAATCAATGTAGGATTTTTAATGCTAGACACGATTGTATATTTGAAAAATCAATCTCCACCAATTTGGAGGTACAGCCCAGGTCAAGAGGCCTCCAACCACAAAATCATTGCCATATGACAAAACTTTTATTTTATTTTCATTACGGAGTTGTGGTCACAGCTGTGATAAAAGCCAACCAGGGAGTGGAGTACTGTTGTGCCTTTAGTTAAATAAGTTCATAGTGTCATCAGTGACTGCAGAAGAGGTTGTAAATAACTTAAAGTGAAGAACAAATTGGCAAGCAAGCTGGTAAGGCACCACTGCCAGCAGAGACCAAGTCGTATTATTGGTGCCACAGCAACATTTATTTTTATTTTGTTTGTGTGTTTTCTCAAGGACTGAAACTGTGACTTCCAATACACCACTCACAGGGAGCTACAGTGTACACAGTGATAGCACAAAGAGATATAGACATTAATGAGAACTGGAAAAGAAAGTACAAGGAAATAATTGTTAAAAAATAAATAAAAAATCAACAAGCTTGGCTATCCTAAAAGGCATCTTATTACCGCCCCAAAGAAAGTAGTATTTTTTTCTGTGTTTCTAAAGGACTGAGTGGGCATATAATCCATTATTCATAGCAAAATGAAGTGTACATGGAGATAGCACATAGATACTCACAAATCTCCGAGGTGAACTAAAAAAAAAGAAGAAAAACAGAAAATAACAGGAGGCAGTTAGGCCAAGGTGCAAATATTACAAGGGAAATTACAACAGGATGAGGGAAGAGATGAGGGGTATCCACTGGCCTGACTCATTAAGGCACCAGAACGAAGACACTACGCTGAATATCATTACTAGTAAAGTGACCCATTTGATCGATAAATATATACCCAAGACCAAACCCAGTACTTCTAGGAAAACGAGGGGACTTCTACACACGAACCATGCGGCGATCAACAAAGTTAAGAAGAAAACCCAGAAATTCAAGACGTGGGTTGGGTCAAACGATGAGCAGGACAGGAGGATGTATGCAAGAGCCAGAAACCAAGCAACGGCAGAGTGAAGAATGGCTGAAAAGGAGTTCCAGAGGCTGGTTGCAAGCGAGGTCAAGTCAAACCCTAAGGCATTTTACTGCTATGCAAAGTCGAAATTAAAAACGCCAGTAGGAGTATCAGACCTGAGGATTGAAGATGGTAGTTATGCAGATTCTGACCAGGATAAAGCTCAGGCATTGAACAGCTTCTTTTCCTCGGTGCTTATAAGAGAGGATGCAATTAACCTTCCTGCGTTTGAGGACAGACGGTTTGACACGGCACTGACCCACATTGTGTTCATAGACAAAGGTATAATAAATAAACTATCAAAGCTAAAAGTCCATAAGAGTTCCGGCCCTGACATGGTGGATCCCAGAGTGCTAAGAGAGTTGTGCAACAAGCTTGCAGAGCCCTCAAGATCCTGTTCTGTAATGCCTGGTTGAACACATGGTCCCCAGTGATTGGAAAATGGCTTATGTGAGTCTTATCTTCAAGAAGGGCAATCGTCACTCCACGAACAATTATAGACCAGTGAGCCTGACCAGCATAATATGTAAAGTACTTGAGAGCATTATCAGAGATGCCGCGATGGAACATCTACTACAAAACAACCTTCTAAAGGATTGCCAATACGGTTTTATACCGGGGCGCTCCTGCTTAACACAATTACTCAAGGTATTGGATATTTGGACCCATATTCTGGAACGGGGTGGTAATATTGACAATATATACCTAGATTTTGCCAAGGCTTTCGACAGTGTATCTCACGAAAGGCTGAAAATCAAACTGGAAGGGTACGGAATTTGGGAAATATCCTAGCATGGATAGAAGATTTTCTACATGACCACAAGCAGTGTGTGGTGATTAATGGCACGAAATCATCATGTGTACCTGTCACAAGCGGGGTACCACAGGGTAATGTAATGGGCCCGCTCTTGTTTGTTTGTTTCATAAATGACATGCCTGACGTTGTACACTCCTCCATACAAATGTTTGCCGATGACGCCAAGTTATTTCGGGAAATCATGAACCATACGGACTGTGAAGAGCTGCAGAAGGATCTCTGTGAGCTTCAATAATTTGTCAAAGAAATGGCTGCTGAGAGTCAATGTCACGAATGTAAGAGGATGCACCTGGGGCGTACCAACGGTAAAGAGGCGTATCATATGTCCCAACGGGATGAAGAAACTGCACTATTTGAGACTGAATGTGAGAAGGACCTAGGTGTGTATGTTGACAATGAGCTGAAGTTCTCGGGCCATTGCGAGAAGAAGGTAAATCGGGCAAATAAATTATTAAGTCTTATAAGAAGGTCGTAACGATCTTCAAGAGTGAAGTGCTTCCTCATCTGGGGTACTGTCACCCCGTCTGGTCAGTTGAATGAAAATTTTCAAAGGAGGGCCACCAGACTGGTGCCTGCACTTCTGTACCTCAACTACCCTGAGAGATTGGAGCACCTGAACTTAAGTGAGGTGTATAAGCATCTCAAGGGGCACTACTCAGTCAAGTGTCCTTACTTGGAGCTGGCGGACGCTCGCCCCACAAGGGGTCACAGCTCAAGATTGAAGAGGCCGCAAGTCCAGAAAACTGTGAGGGCAAACTTTTTCGGAGTGAGAGTTGTGAACTCTTGGATCAATCTGCCAGAAAGTGTTGTGATGGCACCGAGTGTGAGCTCTTTCAAGACCAGACTTGACCAACACTGGAGCAGGTTCAGGTACATTCAGGAGCCGGTGCATGCCCAGTACTTGCCAACAGTGCGTGACAGAGACGTGACCGATCGCTCGGGCGGCTAACGAGCCGATCAGTGGTGAAGAAGATAAAAGTATTAAGAGGAACCTAAGGCCCGGAGGAAACATAAGTACAGTACAGACAGTTTCTTAAACATGTACAGGATGATTACAATACAGAAAAATATTTTAAAATTCTTACTAGAGTTTTTGTAAATCCTCTCTGTTGCAGTCTTTTCAAGAGAGTGAATAAGACAAAATGTCTTTGATTCCAACCTATCTAACAGTTGGAGAGAAGAAATTCCACCCCAGATATGAGAGTAGTACTCCAGGTTAGGACGATTGAATCCCTTATAAACTTGAAGCAACTGCTCAGGAGTGAAGTAGCTGCGGCATCTGTACAGCATTCCCAACTTTCGGGAGGCAGCTTTAGCAATGTTGAGGATGTGTGGCTTCCATGACGTACTGTATTAGAGGAATTGATGAGGCCTAGCATATCTATTCTAAAATTTGGCAAAATGATTGCGTCTTGAAATGTGATTGGTGGGAGATCATTTAATTTGGAAAGTGTAATTGGTAAATACTGAATTTTATTACTACTGAATTTAACCAAGTTTCTGCCTCCCAATTCGGAGATGGTGCACAGATCCACATTGATAGATGTAATGATATCAGCTCTAGAAACAGATCTAGTTTGAGAATTAGGGGGAAGGGGAAAATGTGAAGAAGAGTGAAGAGTAGAATCATCAGCGTAAGAATGGATAGAATTAGTTGTAGTGCGAAGTAAATTATTGATAAAAAGAAGGAAGAGAGTAGGTGAAAGAACAGAATCCTGTGGGACACCACTATTGGTATAGAAAGAGTGAGAGATCGATCCCTCGACAACAACTGCCATGGATCGGTTCTTAAGTGAATTCAAGTAAAATATTTGAAGAAAAGATAGTACATACTGTACAGTTGAATAGATTAAAAAATATATGAAATAAAGAAAATAATGTATATAAGTGATGAAATGAGTATACTGTATTCTGAAGAGCTAATGATATGAAGTGACAAGAGCAGACCAGTTATATGTTACAAGGAGATGAGAGATGCCAGATGTGGACGTTGTATAATATGGACACGAAGTAGTACCTTAAGCTGTGTATTCTTATATTACTCTATTAATTATGTATAGTAAAGTATTACAGAACATGTATTAATCCTATGTAATATTTCCATTTATTATGCACCATGTTATGTATGTGAATTATCATATTTACATATTATGTATTCAGCTTGTGAATGCTGGCATCTGTACATGCCAGCGCAGAGTGATACAGAGAGTTGAGATCGCTAGTCCTTATGGCGTGGAAGCCCACTGTCTATTGTTCCTCTGTATATCTCCCGTACGAGAAAAAGAACCTATTTTCAAGATAACAAGTGTTTGCGTATACCCTCCATAGTGTAGAACATTTTAGGGGTATCAAAGACAAACATAGAGACGTATGTATATATATATATATATACAGTATTACCCCGCTTTACGCGGTTTCACTTAACGCGATTTTTCATATACGCGGTGCCCCGCCAGATACCGAACTTTCAATTAACGCGGTTCATCTACTCATATACGCGGTGAAGTATAATTTTTTTTTTTATTTAGCTCATAAAATTCATACAAATTACCCAGTCAGAATATAATTTACATTGCTGGAATTCTTACAATATGATGATCATTTTGAATATAAACACATAGATTTTGCATTAGACATACAAATTTTAGATATAATGTTTACTCTGAGTAAATATGTTATCTTTTGTGCAAAATATATGACATTTATATTCAAAATATTCCTGGTCTTACAAGGAATCCAGCAATGTCAATTATATTATCCTAACTTTAGTTTGAGGTATTATTTATTACTAAAAAGGTAAATATTCTGGTTTTCCCACACATCTGGTAGGGAGGGACCGACCGACCATCTGTTACAGTGTGAAGAATATTTTTTTTTTTTTATTAACTGAAGATATTTGTTTTAGCTCATAAAATTCATACAAATTACCCGGTCAGAATAAAATTTACATTGCTGGAATTCTTACAATTTGATGATCATTTTGAATATAAACATCATAGATTTTGCATTAGACATACAAATTTTAGATATAATGTTTACTCTGAGTAAATATGTTATCTTTTGTGCAAAATATATGACATTTATATTAAAATATTCCTGGTCTTACAAGGAATCCAGCAATGTCAATTATATTATCCTAACTTTAGTTTGAGGTATTATTTATTAAAATCTAGTGGTTTTCCCCCAAAAATTTCTCAGAGAGGGAAGAGCCAGCAGTGTAGTGTGAGAAGAGGGGGAGGGAGTCGAGTCCATTATTTGAATGGACATTAACTTGGCGGTGTATTTCCTGCTCTTAAGTATTAGTATTGCATGTGTACCATCATAAGAGTAAAAGATGTTATTTTTACTAGAACATAGGTGTTGTGCATATTAGGAAAAATTAGAGATTTGATTAAGACCAGTCTCTATTAGGTAATCCCATATGTTCTGTTAACATTCTTGGATTTCTTGTGGGTTCAGTGGGCATATATATATATATACAGTAAATAAAAAACTTAATACTACACTACCTTCATAATCACACTTCTTCATATTTGACATTCTTGATAGTATTTCTTTTCATGCATTTACATTTTTTTCTGATTTTAGGTAAAATGGTCTTAGTTTTCATAACTAATGGCTTTACTAATATTTTTGTATATTTTGCAGTGAAGTGGCAGCTAAAGGGAAGTTCTCACACACTATTCAGTTCCTGCCTCGCATTCATGGAGAGCGGAAGATTATTGCCAGCTTCAACGCAAAGGAGCTCTTTGATGTTGCAGGAGCCAAGACAGTCACTGTTAAGAAAGAACAATAATTTCTGGCTATTCGCTTTTGTATGATGACAGTAAAGGCAGAACTGGCAGGAGAGAAACAGTCCTTGAACTACTGCAGTTTTCCTGTATATCAATTCCTGGGAAGTTAATATCCTTGCTGAGATTTTGGTGATTAAGTATATAAACAATACAGTAGATCAGTTAAAGAATAAATACAAGGATGATGAAGGACTTAAGGGAGATGTTGACAATAGATACAGATTGTGGTGTGAACAAGTTAGGCAGCTGAGAAGCTTTAAAAGTTGTTTTTCATGTGTTGGATATAAACAGATAGATGTGGCTTGTCCATAAAGTGAATTTGACTATATTTAGATGCTTATTAAAGTCAATGAGTATCTACCATTGAATTAAATACACATTTTTATTCATGTTTCATCCTGAAAAAACTCGGTAAAACAGAAGCAATAGTATGAAAGCTGGCACATCAGCTGTAACAACTTAGTGTTGAACATTAAGTACAGGTAGTACACAAATCATTGTTATGAGTCACATTGTACACCAAGAGTAACTTTACACTCAAAGGTTAATGAGATAATTCTCGGCCACAAGGCTGAGTACCTTTCACTTGATATATTTTAATATTTTCTCAAATCTTATGGGAGATGTTAGTGCAAAAACATCAGCTATTTCTTAAGTGCTTAATATTCATATGATACAAAAGTGCTATAAGTGGAACACAGTGCCTTGCCATTTACTCGCTTCTATTCATTTTATTTTTAATATCCCTCAAAAACTTGTGCATTTTACAAGACCTGTTACATTAGTTTTCAAAAGTGATATTTTGAACTAAAAATTCGATTTTTTTTTTACATTTGTGTTGATAGAAATAAAGTTTTTTAAGTTCAATCTTCAAAAATATTTCCTATTTGAATCATATCTGAGAAATACCAACCTTTACTAAACCAAATTAACTTAATGTCATGCACATGTTTATGTTAAGTAATGTTTGTACTAATGTTAGTACTGTACAAGTACTGTACTTTTTGTAGAGTAAGGAATACTAACACAGTCAATAAGAAGGGATTTACACTTGCTTGGGTTTCAGTTAAGAAGCTTAGGGAGAGTCTTCAGTTGTCATAGATGTGGAACAGTTCTTCTCTATTTTCATGAATAAGCAACTGACTTCCACATTATTGTTTTTGTATTTCATAGTTAACATAAGCATCTTAACTCTTGCCTTAATGCTTGCATCTGTCAGAAGCAGCTGTTGGTTCTTTGTGTTGAACTTAAATCAAAATATGTAACAAATATGATCTATTGTAAGATAAGAAGAAAAGCTATTTCATATTTTTATATTCTAGTTAGTAAAACAACCTTTTAATATTTTCCAACTCACATATTGACACATAACCCAATGTTAACTAATAAAAAAATAATAACTATTAAAAACTATATTGGGTAGCCTTTTAAATAACACTTTGGTAAGAACAGAAAAAAAATTCAGAGCTGTTAAGTAAAATGTTTATTTCTGACTTCTGAGGAATCCTATATAATATATATATTAATATTTTTTATTTCCGCTTTTTACTGGTCATCATATATGTGTGTGTGTGTGTGTGTATATATATATATATATATATATATATATATATATATATATATATATATATATATATATATATATATATATATATATATATATATATATATATATATATATGATTAGATATAAAGAAACAATATTGAGTGATTTTTGTACAAGTAGATGATGACCTACCATGTTTATCACTTTCCAATAAAGGAAATATAAAAATATCTTAAGTGGAGTATGAGATCCTTCAACACATTATTATGCTGTAGTGTACTCATATACTGTACAGTAAAAGTCCAAAAATCCGGATGCCAGAAATTTGGACCACCCGAGAATCCGGACTTTTAGGAAATTCAATTTTTTTTTTTTTTTTAGCAGGCTTTTGTGTGTATATGCGTATGCATGAGCGCCACAGCTGCACAGCGACAACAAGTGACCACGCGGTCGCCACTTTAAAACGAGCAATCAAACTGTGACAACGTATGAAATTTTGACTCCTACTCTTTTCATTTACAGAGTACTGTACTGTACAAGCCCATAATAATGGCTCCTAAGGTAGATAAACTTCATTGTGTGAAGAGAAAGAAGAACATGTTGAAATTGAGTGACAAACTTGAAATAATTAAGAAACTAGAACATGAAGTGAGCAATACTGTTTGAATGGAATCATACGACAATGGAAGGTCTACAATTTATGATATAAAAGAGGCAAAGAATAAAATTCTAGAATTCACAGCTTTTTCCTTAAAACTGCTCGTTTTGATAAATGAAGCATGCTATATTTGCTAATGATTAAACTATCAAAATGTGCCTGTTCATCTCTTCTTTATTTCTCCTTAAATTTGAATTTTAAAAGTACTGCCTGAGAATCCGGAAAATCCGAAAATCCGGACCAACCCAATCCCCAAGCAGTCCGGATTTTTGGACTTCTACTGTATATGGAAGATTTTACATTGTTTCACCTAGTGATGTGTCCACTACTACTGTACCTCTACCGTCCATCACAGTCTTGTTGTCTCAAAGGGAAACATTACCAGTGTTTGCTCACCATGTATCTGACTATATGTGGCTCTGACTCTTGACACATCTTTTTTTTTTCAACTCTCGAAACATTTCTCTCTAAGAGAGAAGGTGAGAATCAGAAGCAAATATTCACACATTGTTCCTTCATTCATCTATCTTGCTGTAATATAATATCTTCAACAGTTACTTCTCTCCAACAACAACTGTCTTCTACCTGTTACCTCTCTCCTACAACAACATTGTGGGGTTAACGTGATGTTGGATTGCACTAGGATGGAGGTGAGAAGGGAAACTCAGCTATGGCGTTTTATATATACAGGCATCCCCCACGTTAAGGAAGCCCGGGTTATGGAATTTCGCTTCTACGGAATTTGTAAATTATGACCAATAATTTCGCTTACAGCCCGTAAATCCGCCCTTACGGAAATTGGGGTAAATTTTTAACAATTTAATAAAAAAATCACTATATAAAATTAAATTTTTTTGTTGAAAATGATAATTTGTTTGGTGTGGATTTCTTGGTGTTTGCTACCGCCAAGAGGAGTCACTCCATTGTTTACATCCACTGTGCGCGCATGTTTCGCGCCCCTGCAGTTTGATTTAACTTTAACAAACATACAGTAAATACAGTACCGGTACAGTGCATTACCCTTATTCAAGATGACTGGAAAGAGGCCATCAAGTGGAAGTGACCGCAGTAGTGCAAAAAGAAGCCACAAAGGCATTACATTGGATATTAAACTTGACATTTTAAGAAGGTTTGATGCTGGAGAAAAACTTGGCCAGATTGCAAAAACATTAGGTCTCGCTACTTCAACAGTGGGAACAATCCATGATGATAAGGACAGAATTAGGTCAAGTGCTGAAGCTGCTACTCCATTAACTGCTCGAACCTTGTATTTTCATCAAAGTGATGTGATGTTGAATATGGAACGACTCCCAAGTGTCTGGATTGAAGATCAGACTAAACACAATGTGCCACTAAACACTATGGTTATTCAACAGGAAGCCATAAGTTTATACATTAAAATGATTTACAGGAAGAGGAAGGTGCATCTTCTGAGGTTAAACCTTTTCTGGCTAGTAAAGGCTGGTTTGAAAGGTCTAAGAAGAGCCTTAATTTACACAACATAAAAATGAGCGGTGAAGCTGCCAGTGCTGATACAGATTCTGCTAATACATATCCTGCTGAGCTGAAGAAAATTATTGATGAAGGGGGTTACACACCAGAACAAGTGTACTATGTTGATGAAACTGGGCTTTTCTGGAAGCGCATGCCTGCTAGAACTTTTATTTCCACTGAAGAAAAATCAGCACCAGGCTTTAAAGCATCCAAAGATCGTTTAACACTTCTTCTGGGAGGAAATGCTTCAGGTGACATGAAATTAAAGCCCCTACTTGTGTATCACTCAGAAAATCCAGGGGCTCTCAAGGGCTATGCCAAGTCTAATCTACCTGTGATTTGGCATTCCAATAAGAAGGCTTGGATGACTATGACCCTTTACCAAGACTGGTTCACTAACTATTTTTGCCCTGCTGTAGAAAGATATAATGCCAAAAGGCGTAACATATCTAATAAAGCACTGCTCCTCATAGACAATGAACCAAGCCACCCAGTAAATTTAAATGATCTTTCTGATAATGTGAGAGTAGAGTACATCCCCAAGAACACAACTTCCTTGCTCCAGCCAATGGATCAAGGTGTGATAGCTAACTTTAAGGCATATTATCTAAGGAAAACTTTTTTGCAGCTCATAAAAGCAATTGATGGGGAGGATAAACCTACAATTAGGGACTTCTGGAAAAAGTTCAACATCTTGGATGCTGTGGATAATATAGCCGAGTCATGGGATGAAGTGAAAACCTCAGCTATGAATGGAAAAACATATGGCCAGAGTGTGTCCATGAATTTGAAGGTTTTTCACAAGCTGAAAGTCTACAGTAAGTCCAATAAGACATTGTGACACTTGCAAATAATGTAGGCTTTGAAGAAGTCGTAGAAAATGATGTGGTTGAGTTGTTAGAGTCCCATAGAGAAGATTTGACTAATGAAGATCTGATGATGCTGGAACAAGAGCGAGCTGCAGGACAAAAAGAAGGGGATATAGAATCTCCACCCACCCCACTTCAGTTGACAGCAAAGGATATGTCTAAAGCATTTGCACTAATAGAGGGAGGAAGGTCTGCAAATCTTTGCTGATAACGACCCCAACCGTGAAAGGAACATCAAGATTGCAAGAGCAGTTAACAATGCTCTCAGTTCCTACACTGAGCTGTACAAGGAGAAGGTAAGCCGTAAACATCAAACAACTTTGGATGAGTTATTCATCCTCAGAGAAAAGCTTAAAGCAGATGATGAAGCAGATGATGATTTACAGGGCAGGGCAGAAGAGAGTAGTGCCTCTCCCTCCCAATAACTCTCTTTGCACCACCAATCCTCACGCAGCAGTCAACATCTTTTGTGGTGAGTACAGTACAATATTTTTATTTATTCCAACTGTATTTCTCTTCATATTACATGTACCCTGTATATCATAAATTATTTGATGTACGTACTGTATTATTGTACAGTATGTGTTTATAAATGTTTATTTTCATTCATAAAAGTGCTTGAATTACTTTTTGGGGGCTGAAAAAATTCCATAGGAACGCATCTCCAGTTTTTTAATGGAAGTCAATGGGAAAATAGGTTTCGCGTTATGGAATTTCGCAATACGGTCAATTTTCCAGGGACGGAACTCTTGCGTAACGAGGGGGATGCCTGTAATATATTATATGTACAATGCAGTGCCAGGGAGCTGCTGTGTGGTGAGGAGCTTGTTGAGAGGAGGTCTTGTTGGTTTGTTTGAGTGCGTTCAGTAGAATGCAATTCACAGCGAGGCTCTGAGCTTATATACATGTCCACCGGAAGTAAGTGTCGCTGTTGGCCGACCCCCCCCTCGTGCAGGCGTCAGTCCAGATGGCTGGACTTGTCAGAGAAACTCGTCGCGGGATCGGCTATCAGCAACTACAACTAACGGCAGTGGCAGTTGTAGGGGAGAGTATCCACTACAATACTCCCCCTCCCCTCCGAGCGCTGCAGGAAACATAACGGGCGGGGGTGTGGACCACTCGGCCGCTACGGGTGACGACTCCGTCTAGGGACATGAGATCTGTGGGAGAAGCAGAGGGAGAAGGAGGGTTGTGGGTAAGAGAAGGTTGAACAGGCGAGGAATGTGGTGCTTCTCTCGCGGCAGGTGCAAAGTCCTCAGGGGCGCCTGGTGGGGTGTCTGGGTCCATAGGTCCGGGTGCAGGACCCTCATCAGGAGCAGGGTCCACGTCAGGAGGAGGAGGTACCTGAGGATGTAAAGAGGGTACGCAGAAATGTTGTGGACGAGGTGGTGCTGCAAGTGACAATTGTGGGCAGACTGGTGCAGCCGTAGTTTGTTGGGGGTAATGCTGGGCTGGGGCCTAACGGGTAAGATGGCTGGCTTCACTCGGTCTATGCTGACGGTGTCGTGTCTGCCATTGCGAATGATCGTCAGGAACTTCGCTGACTGCAAAAATCGGGAAGGGTCCGTCGTAGGGGCGATGAAGTGGGTTGCGGTGAACATAGCGCCTGACGAAGACATACTCGGCATTGAGTAGTGCAGGAGGGATGTGTTCAGGGCAATGGGAAGGCTGGCGTGGGGCAGTAGCCTTGAATGCACAAACTGCCCGTCGTAGTGTTTGCAGTAGGTTATGATGGGCAGCAGGAGTGAAGTGGTCAAGGTCAGGAGTAGGTGAGAAGTCCCTGGAGAGGCGAAGGGGTTCGCCTAGGGAGAGATCTGCTGGGCTGCAGTCCATGTCTTCTTTGTGTGATGCGCGGAGGCCAAGGAGCACTAAGGGTAGAGCATCCGTCCAGCTGTAAGGGTCGTGCTGTGCCTTGATGGCGTCCTTCAGCTGACGATGAAACCGCTCTACCATGCCGTTGGACTGAGGGTGGTAATCGGTAGTGCGGTGCCTGGAAGTGCTGAGGAACTGCAGGAGACTATGCCAGAGGTGAGACTCAAACTGGACTCCTCGGTCAGTGATGATAGTCGTGGGAGGGCCGAAATGGGAGACCCAACCGGACAGGAAGGCGCAGACGGCTGACTCTACTGTAGCATTAGACATGGGAATGGGTTCTGTCCACCTGGTGAAATGGTCAATGCAGGTGAAGATGTAGGTGTTGCCGCAGGATGATGGAAGAGGTCCCACGATGTCGAGGTGCACTACCTGGAAGCGTCCTTTGGATATAGGAAAGTTTTCTAAGGGAGCACGTGTGTGTCGATGTCTCTTAGAGGACTGGCAGGCCAGGCACTGAAGGCGTGGACGAGGGCCTTGTGATCAGTGAAGATGGTGAACTGACGGGCCTCGAGGAAGTGCTGGAAATGCTTGACAGCAAGATATATGGCCAGGAGCTCTCGATCGAAGGCGCTGTACTTGAGTTGAGGTGGTTGAAGCAGCTGTGAGAAGGCAATGGGCATGAGAGTTCCGTTGATACCCTGTTGTAAGACGGCTCCCACGGCAGTAGAAGAAGCTTCTGCTGTGAGAGTGGTCCGGGCGTTGGGTGCAGGGTGAGCCAGGAGGGTAAGGCGTGTGATGTGCTGCTTGATAGTGGTGAATGCCGTAACAGCCTCTTGAGTCCATACGAGAGGCTTGTGAGACATCTTGGGGAGTCCCTTGAGAAGGTCGTAGAGGATGACGAGGACAGTAGCAGCCTGGCCAATGAAGCGGTGGTAGTAGTTGACTAAACCCAGGAATTCTCGGAGTTTCTTCGCCTTTTCAGGTCTGGGGAACTCATTGACGGCAGTTACCTTCTGTGGTAGGGATTGGATGCCGCTCGACGAGACTCTGTGACCAAGGAGGTCGATAGAGGAGGGTCCGAAGACGCACTTGGCTGGATGAACTTTCATGTTGTTGTTCTGCAGGCGTTGGAGAAGGAGCTGTAGGTGGTGGTGATGCTCGGCAGGCGTTGGAGAAGGAGCTGTAGGTGGTGATGATGCTCAGCAGGCGTTGGAGAAGGAGCTGTAGGTGGTGGTGATGCTCGGCAGGCGTTGGAGAAGGAGCTGTAAGTGGTGATGATGCTCGGCAGGCATTGGAGAAGGAGCTGTGGGTGGTGGTGATGCTCGGCAGGCATTAGAGAAGGAGCTGTAGGTGGTGGTGATGCTCGGCAGGCATTAGAGAAGGAGCTGTAGGTGGTGATGATGCTCGGCAGGCGTTGGAGAAGGAGCTGTAGGTGGTGGTGTTGCTCGGCAGCCGTTGGAGAAGGAAGGAGCTGTAGGTGGTGGTGGTGCTCGGCAGGCGTTGGAGAAGGAGCTGTAGGTGGTGGTGTTGCTCGGCAGGCGTTGGAGAAGGAGCTGTAGGTGGTGGTGATGCTCGGCAGGCGTTGGAGAAGGAGCTGTAGGTGGTGGTGATGCTCGGCAGGCGTTGGAGCAGGAGCTGTAAGTGGTGGTGATGCTCGGCAGGCGTTGGAGAAGGAGCTGTAGGTGGTGGTGATGCTTGGCAGGCGTTGGAGAAGGAGCTGTAGGTGGTGATGATGCTTGGCAGGCATTGGAGATGCGACGAGAATGTCGTCTATGTAGACAGTGACAAAGTCGAGGTCGCAAAGCATGTGGTCCATGTACCTCTGGAAGGTCTGAGCTGCATTGTGTAGCCCAAAACTCATGAAGGCATACTCGAAGAGACCAAAAGGAGTGGTGAGGGCTGTCTTCTGGGCATCTGCAGGTGCTACTGGAATCTGATGGAAGGCACGCTCCAAGTCGATCTTCGAGAAGATAGTCTTGCCGTGGAGTTTGTGGTGGAAGTCCTGGACATGCGGGATAGGGTACCTGTCGGGTTTGGTGACGAGGTTCAGAGATCTGTAGTTACCACATGTCCTCCAGTCGTTGGATGATGGCTTTGGAACCATGTGAAGAGTAGATGCCCAGGGACTCTTTGAAGGTCGAATGATGCCGTCTTGCAGGAGTCTGTTGAATTCCGCCTTGGCTGCGTTCAGGAGCTCAGGGCGAAGTCGGCGAAGGGTGAGAAGACTGGGGGTCCTATAGTCTCAATATGGAGGAAGATTCCCGACATAGGTGGTGGTGGAGAGACTCGGGGTGAGAAAAGTTCCTTGAGCAGGCGACTGCAGGACGTGTACCCCAGATCGTGTGTGCTGTAGGCTCATGGATGAGGCAGAGGTTGCTTGGGTCGACGACGAGCTTGTGGAAGGTGAGGAAGTCGAAGCCAAGGATGGGTTGAGAGACGTCTGCCACCACGAAGGACCAGCGCAGAGTCTTGGGAAGACTGAGGTCTAAGGTGAGGATGTGTGCGCCGTAGGAGGCGATGGGGATACCGTTGGCGGCGAACAGGTCATAAGAGGGTTGCTTTGATGTGTCTTGCAGTGAGAGAGGGATGATTCTGACCGATGAACCTGTGTCGACGAGGAATTTCCTGCCGGAGATGCGGTCGGTGATAAACAGCAGTGAAAAGCCTGAAGTGACGGAGGTTGTGGCGTCTACCAATCCCCGTCGATGCCGTTTCCAGAGTAGTTGCAGGGAGCCTCACAACGTCTAGCGTTAGCACTGAAGCATTGATGGTACCAGCAGAGGGTAGGTGCACCGTGCTGGGAGCTGGCGGCGGCGTCCGAGGCAGGACGAAGACGTCGGGGTTGGTGGGACACAGTGCGTGGGGCAGGAACAGGAGCAGCAGCAGGCATGGAGGAGCAGAGCTGCTTGAGGGTGTCCATCCTGCGGTGTAGAGACTGTAGCAGGTCCCTCATGTCTTGTGAGGTGTTGCTCGTCTGAGGAGCGTTGATCTGGTTGACAAAATCAGCGGAAAGTGACGGTATGTCCACTGAGTTGTCCGCGGCAGCAAGGCGCACAGGAGTGTATTCGTGGAATACTCTGTCTGCCGTGGCTGCGTAGGTCGCCGAGGTTGTATAGTACAGTGCGGACAGGGCGAGACGAACTTCTGCAGGGAGCTTCTGAGTGTGAAGCTGGCGCAGGATAGTGTCAGGAAGCCTGTCTGTGTGGCGGGAGTCCAGTCTCCGCATCTCGTCCCAGAGTCGTGCAGGCGTTGAGTTGCCGAGGGAGAGACCGGATAGGTCTTGCAGGAAACTGGTGTCAGACCGCTGGTATCGCCCCTTGAGAGCATCTCGTAGATCTGCAAACTTGTTGTCATCTGGGGGCTTAGTAATGACTTCTGCAACTTGTGTGGCGACTCCTGTGGGCAGGGAACAGACCAGGGCGGCGTACTTTTGTTCGTCTGTAGCTGTAGAGCCGATGAGAGCTGCCTCCATGTGGATTAGCCAGTCTTCAATGTTGTGATTGAAGACTGGAAGAGTGATCCACTTCTCATCCATCCTGTGTGAGTGCATTACTCCGGGGGTCACCATTATGGGGTTAACGTGATGTTGGATCGCACTAGGATGGAAGTAAGAAGGGAAACTCAGCTATTGCGTTTTATATATACTATATTATATGTACAATGCAGTGCCAGGGAGCTGCTGTGTGGTGAGGAGCTTGTTGAGAGGAGGTCTTGTTGGTTTGAGTGCGTTCAGTAGAATGCCTTTCACAGCGAGGCTGTGAACTTATATACATGTCCACCGGAAGTAAGTGTCGCTGTTGGCCGACCTCCTACCCCCCCTGCGCAGTCCAGACGGCTGGGCTTGTCAGAGAAACTCGTTGCGGGATCGACTATCAGCAAGTAACAGCAGTGGCAGTTGTAGGGGAGAGTATCCACTACACAAGTGTCATTACTGATCGACGACGAAGAGATTGAGTACCATACTTTATTTAAGCAAGGCAGGCTGCTTGGCCTCATCATCTCTCGGATGAGCACCATTTCCCACGTGAAGAACTGACTAAAGAAAGCTAAAGTCGCCGCCGCCAAATTAAAATGTTTTAAACTGATGCCTTAGAAGATACAAGTCCACCTGTACAAGGCGCTGGTGAGGCCTGTGTTGGAGTACCCACATATACCACTCGTCATACTCGGGAAGACAAGACTACAACAACCACAGAGCCTCCAAAACAAGTGTTTGAGATCAGCCAGTGGCCAAGCGCCACCCTACCAGGAGACAGTGGAAACCATCCACTTAAGAAATAAAACAGAGGCCCTCAACGTCAGGTTCCATTGCCTCGAGAAGAAGGTTTGGGACAAGCTCCTGGACGACCCTCACAGCCCAGACCACCTATGTAGGGAAGACATCAACGGAGGGCGACCCTGTGGGGATGAGATGTTTGTGTTCACACTCAGGATGGAATGGAGAAAGGAAACTCACAAAGTGCTCTCTCTGTATACATGTTGTATTGGATGCACAATGCAGCTTGGTGCTGGGAAGGCAGCATGGTTACAAGCGTGATGTAGAGAGAGCTGGTTGGTGAGGATGCTCAGAGAAGGACAGCTTGTGGGTCGCCATGCTCGCCGGCGGGAGCGAGGACCGCCAGGCAGGAGGAGGGGGAGGTGTTGCTGGCTGGTTGGTGGAGGTAGAAACGAGAGAGATCACCACGAGGTCAGGTCTTAAATAGCGGGGGTAGGCGTGGCTTAGTAGTTGACCCCCGCTCCGTGATGTATGGCGGCGCTGGTTGACCTAGACCACGAGGCATACACTGGGGAATTGGTGGGGTCGGCTACTCAGCGACAAACAGCGTTTGTAGGGGAGAAATCCACTACAATACTCCACCTTCCCTCCAGGCGGTGTAGGAGACTTGTTGTCTGCAGGGTTGCATAGCACATGTGAGGCAGAACGGGCGGTGCATGCCTCATGTGAGACAACGGCGATGGCGTGGATGAGCCGGTCGCTGGGGACAACTGTCTAGGTACACAATATCTGTGGGAGTAAAGAGGGAGAAAAAGGGTGTATGGAGGCGATGAATGTTGTGCTTCCCTCACGACAGGTACAGAGTCGTCAGATGCGCCTGCTGGGGTGTGTGGGCCTGGGTCAGGAGCAGGGGCTGCGTCAGCAGAAGCGGATGAGGGCTCGTGACAGCAGCTGGGTCCACGACAGCAGCAGGGTGCAGGACATTAGCAGGGAGTACCTGAGGGAGAAAAGAGGGGTGTGTGGGTCCGCACTCAGGAACAGGGGCCGCAGCAGGGGTTACTGCTGGGCCGGGGTCGGCGGCTGAGGCAGGACGGGTGTGCTGGGGTCGGAAGAGAAGCGACTGTCTGCTTAGAGTAGCAGAGCTGCTCTAGGGTGTCTAACCTGCGGTGTAAAGACAGTAGCTGTAGAGCCGATGAGAGCTGCCTCTGGGTGGATAAGCCAGTCTTCCATGTTGCTTGAAGACTGGGAGAGTGATCTGTTTCTCCTCCATCCTGTGTGAGTGCGAATCTCCGGGGGTCACCATTTGTGGGGATGAGATGTTTGTGTTCACACTCAGGTTGGAATGGAGAAAGGAAACTCACAAAGTGCTCTCTCTGTATACATGTTGTATTGGATGCACAATGCAGCTTGGTGCTGGGAAGGCAGCGTGGTTACAAGCGTGATGTAGAGAGAGCTGGTTGGTGAGGATGCTCAGAGGAGGACAGCTTGTGGGTCGCCATGCTCGCCGGCGGGAGCGAGGACCGCCAGGCAGGAGGAGGGGGAGGTGTTGCTGGCTGGTTGGTGGAGGTAGAAAGAGACAGGTCACCACGAGGTCAGGTCTTAAATAGCGGGGGTAGGCGTGGCTTAGTAGTTGACCCCCGCTCCGTGATGTATGGCGGCGCTGGTTGACCTAGACCACGAGGCATACACTGGGGAATTGGTGGGGTCGGCTACTCAGCGACAAACAGTGTTTGTAGGGGAGAAATCCACTACAACCCCACGCCTGGTGGCCACGGAGTCTGCCAGCACTACAACAACCCAACCCGCGACCCATCTATGTCAGCCACAATGATTCACCTTAGATTAAGACTCAGATGATATAAGATCACATTAAACAAGTCACAATCTAGTGACTCCATAAAGTAGTACGTTAATAAGATTTTAATAAACATGTAATTGTAAAATCAAACTAGTCATTGTCAACCAAAGTAACCATTGTGCAACCTCATCCTAAATCCTAGGTTAGCTTAGCTAGCCAACAAACTCGGTAATATGTAAAACAAGGGGTGTGTCGTCCCCCTCTGTGTAACTCATTAAACTTCTTTTCCAACCTTTACCCCCACAACTTCTCTATCCTTCATGTCTGGCTGTGTCTTGAGCCCCAGCATGCCTTCCATCCTTTCCCTACTTTAACCTAAAAAAAAAAAAGTATCTGAACCTGCTCCAGTGTTGTTCAAGTGTGGCCTTGAACCAGCTCACACAGTGTCGTCACAACACTCTCTGGCAGGTTGTCCCAGGAGTTCAATACATTTTATGGATTTCTTTTTATAACACTTCTGAATTCTGGAACATGTACTGCCTTGCAGAACTAATGTTAAAATGCTCAATGAAATAATAGCAATTTTTCAAGAACTTCCTTTTATATGAGACAATGTACAATACTATAATTACACTAAATTTGGCACTTTGATCATAATTTGAAGAAAACTATCCCCCGGCCGCTACCCTAAAATAGTCGCACTACAATGGATGAATATTAGGTAAATATTCACTTGTTGCCACTATACAAAATCTAAGTTGAAATTATGTTCTTTTGGTGGGTTTTGACGAGTTTTGAACGAATTTGACCTTCAATTCTGGAGCAAATCAATAGTTTCTAAGATGGGGGGACCTACCATCTCAGACTCTAGAGATATGCTGTGAACATCAGGATAAAGAGTGTTCAAAACACGTCGAAAACAACCAGAAAACAGTTTTGAACCTAACCTAACCGAGGAGCCCCACAGTCGTTCCATGTTTTGGATGTGTACCACCACGCACGAACATGTTAATGTTAAATATTAATGTTAATGTTAAAAATATTAAATATCTCCCTTAAACGTAATTTGCTCCATAAATGCCATTGAAGAAAATTGTCGACTTGTCAAACTTACCATTACAACTATAAAATTCCCGAGAATCGTTTATTGGCAACAAGTGAAATAATACCAAATATTCTGAGTTATGAAAAAACTAACAGTAGTTAAATAAATTATTACTTTTATAGTTGGTCGAGAAAAGAAAAGAATTTATATTAATTTTACATTGCTCATATCAACAATTTCCAGGTCATATTCTTGATCATTTCTCGTAAATGTTATTAAAACTTGTTTTATTAGTGTATAAAACTTCCTAAGATATATAAAAAATATTATAATATTATCTAAATACAGAAACAAAATAAATATTTTTATTTTTTTGAGATAAAATTAAAAAATAACAGCGAGAAGTAAGTAACAAAAACCGGAAGTAGACATGTAGGTTTGTTTTGGTTGTCAGCAGGTGACTGTCAGTGACTGTCTGCTTGACTGTCTGTGACTGGGGAGCCTGACTGTGTCGTTCACTGATCTTGGTCATATTGATTCACATGAGGAGATGACGAGGAGCTGACACACCCGAGCACTACAACTTGGTGTGTTATGAAGTGAGTTAAGTCTCGGCACACTAGTTGTATTATAACTAGAACGACTCCTAGTTATTGTGCCCCCTTCCTAGTTATTGTTTCCCCCTGCCTAGTTATTGTGTCCCCTGCCTAGTTATTGTGTCCTCCTGCCTAGTTATTGTGTCCCCTGCCTAGTTATTGTGCCCCCTTCCTAGTTATTGTGTCCCCTGCCTAGTTATTGTGTCCCCTGCCTAGTTATTGTGTCCCCTGCCTAGTTATTGTTTCCCCCTGCCTAGTTATTGTGTCCTCCTGCCTAGTTATTGTTTCCCTGATTATTATTTCCCCGCCTTGTTATTGTGTCCCCTACTAGTTATTTTCCCCTGCCTAGTATTGTGTCCCTGCTTGTTATTGTGTCCCCTGCAGTATTGTTTCCCCTGCCTTGTGTGTCCCCCTGCCTATTTATTGTGTCCCCAGTGTGTGTCCCCCTGCCTGATTGTTATTTTACCAATTTTTGTGTCCCCTGCCTTGTTGTGTGTTTCCTTCCTTGTTATTGTTCCCCCTGCCTTGTTATTGTTTCCTCCTGCCTAGATTATTGTTTCCCCTCCCTTATTATTTCCCCCCTACCTTGTTATTATTTCCCTACCTTATTATTGTTTCCCTGCCTTGTTATTATTTCCCCTACCTTATTTGTTATTTACCTAGTTATTGTTCCCCTACTAGTATTGTTTCCCCTACCTTGTTATTGTTTCCCCTACCTAGTATTGTGTCCCCTACCTTGTTATTGTGTCCCCTACCTTGTTATTGTTTCCTCTGCCTAGTGTGTGTCCCCCACATTGTGTTTCCCCCTGCCTTGTTATTATTTCCCCTACCTTATTGTTTCCCCCCTACATTGTGTGTCCCCTGCCTAGTGTGTTCCCTTCCTTGTTGTGTTTCCCCTGCCTAGTTATTGTGTCCCCTGCCTTGTGTGTCCCCTGCCTTGTTATTGTTTTCACTCCTTGCCTTATTGTTTGTTCCCTACTGGTTGTTTGTCCCTACCTGATTATTGTGTCCCCTGCCTTGTTATTGTTTCCCCCTGCCTTGTTATTATTTCCCCTGCCTAATTATTGTGCCCCCTCTACCAATTATTGTGTCCCTACCTTGTTATTGTCCCCTACCTAGTTATTGTGTCCTCCTACCTAGTGATTATGTCCCCCATACCTGGTGTGTTCCCCTACCCTAGTGTGTGTCCCCCTGCCTAGTGTGTGTCCCCTCCCCTAGTGTGTGTCCTCCCTACCTTGTTATTGTTTCCCCATTGTGTCCCCTACTTGTGTGTTTCCCCTACCTGGTGTGTTTCCCCTGCCTTGTTATTGTTTCCCCACCTGCCTAGTTATTGTTTCCCCTGCCTTATTGTTTCCCCTGCCTTATTGTTGTGTCCCCTGCCTGGTGTGTTTCCTGACCTTTGTTATTGTTTCCCCTGCCTGGTGTGTTTCCCTACCTTGTTATTGTTTTACCATTATTATTTCCCTACCTAAATTATTATTTACCTTGTTATTGTGTCCCCTACCTATTATTATTTCCCCTACCTTGTTATTGTGTCCCTACCTAGTATTGTTTCCCTACCTTGTTATTGTGTCCCCTACCCTGCGTATTATTTCCCCCTACCTTATTTACCTGCCTTATTGTTTCCCCTGCCTTGTTATTATTTCCCCTGCCCTTATTGTTTCCCTGCCTAGTTGTGTTTCCCTGCCTAGTGTGTTTCCCCTGCCTAGTTATTGTTTCCCCTGCCTGGTAGTATTGTTTCCCTACCCCTGTTGTGTGTCCTCTGCCTAGTTATTGTTTCCCTGCCTGGATTTTCCCCTGCCCCTAATTGTTATTTCCCTGCCTGTTATTGTTTCCCCTACCTGGTTATTATTTCCCCACCTGGTTATTGTTCCCCTACTAATTATTGTTTCCCCCTGCCTAATTATTATTTTCTCCTACCCCTGTTATTGTTTCCCTCCTAGTATTATTTCCCCTACCTAGTATTGTTTCCCTACCTTGTGTGTCCCTACTAGTATTATTTCTCCCCTTCCTAGTTATTGTTTCCCTGCCCCATTAACCTTGTCCCCTACCCCTAGTGTGTTTCACCTGCCTGTTATTGTTTCCTCCTCTATTATTGTGTCCCCTGCCTATTATTATTTCACCTCCTAGTGTATTTCTCCCTGCCTAGTATTGTTTCCCCTGCCTAATTGTTGTTTCTCTGCCTAGTGTGTGTCCCCTGCCTAGTTATTGTTTCACCTGCCTGGTTTGTTTCTCCCTGCCTAGTTATTGTGTCCCCTGCCTATTGTTATTTCACCTACCTAATTATTGTTTCCTCCTGCCTAGTGTGTGTCCCTACCTAGTATTGTTTCACCTACTAGTATTGTGTCCCCTACCTAGTATTGTTTCACCTGCCTGGTATTTTCCTCCTACTAGTATTGTGTCCCCTACCTAGTATTGTTTCACCTGCCTAGTATTGTGTCCCCTACCTAGTATTATTTCACCTGCCTAGTGTGTTTCTCTACCTAGTATTGTGTCCCCTACCTAGTATTGTTTCACCTACCTGTTATTGTTTCCTCCTGCCTAGTATTGTGTCCCCTGCCTAGTTATTTCACCTGCCCCTGTTATTGTGTCCCTGCCTGTTATTGTTTCCCCTGCCCTGGTGTGTTTCTCTGCTATTGTGTGTCCCCTGCCTAGTTATTGTTTCACCTGCCCTGATTATTTTTCCTCCTGCCTAGTTATTGTGTCCCTACCTAGTATTGTTTCACCTGCCTAGTAGCATGTCCTCCTACCCTAGTATTGTTTCCCTACCTGTTATTATTTCCCTACCTAGTATTGTGTCCCCCATTATTGTTTACCTACCTAGTATTGTTTCTCCTACCTAGTATTGTGTCCCCTACCTAGTATTGTTTCTGCCTAGTATTGCCTAGTATTGTTCCCTACCTAGTATTGTTTCACACCTTATTATTTCTCTGCCTAGTATTACTTCTCCTGCCTAATTGTATTTCACCCTGCCTGGTATTGTGTCCCCTGCCTAGTTATTGTTTCACCTGCCTATTATTGTTTCCTCTGCATTTGTTATTCCTGCCTGGTATTGTTTCCTCCTGCCTA